GGCTGCAGAACAACATGTACAAGGTTTGGCTGGGGCTGGTGGTTGCAGGTGGGGTGACAGAGCAGGATATGGTAGCAGTTTGAGGGTGTGGGAGAGTTCTGGCAGTAGGTTGGAAGACATACAGATGATTGTGGCAGCGGCAGGTGCAGTTGGAGAGCTTTATGGCACAGCTGGCAGGCAGGGGGGAGGCTGTGGCACAGCTGGCAGACAAGGAAAGTGACGACACAGCTTGGCAGAGAGGGGGAAAGGCTGCAGCAACTGTGGGGCTGGGGCCGGCTGGCTACAGGGTGTGACAGAAAGAAGGGAAGATGGCAGATGGCAGCAAGCATGGTGAAGGCGGAAGCAAGTAATAGAAGGGAAGATACACGCCACCTCAAAGTATGATACAGCTTGAGCACCGCCGCCTCCTCGGATACAGCTCTGCACAAGGGAAAAGAACTCAACACAGAAATCTGAAAGCAAATACAGAAAAATTGAAAAACTCTAAGCATAACACTCCCTATTCATACTAAGGACTAGGACTTATTTTAGGCAATGATTAAAATAAGGAAGAATAAAAATAATAAGAAGTTAGATTAGCAATGATGAATAAACTAATAGAATTTAAGATTAGACAAAGATGGGTAAAATAAATCAAAATTTAGAATCGGTAAGGACTTATAATAGGAAGTACTAATAGAATTTCAGATTAGGCAAGAATGAGTAAAATAAATCAGAATTTAGAATTGGTAAGGACTTATTATAGGAAAGTACTAGGAAGGAAAGATTGGGGGACAAAAAAGAAAGGGTGAGGTGCAGGGTCGATAGCCCCTTCCCTTGGGGACTGGCTGGTCCAGCAAAGCTGAACCCAACTCTCCAAACTGGTCCGCCATAGCCCTCGCGTCACCTACTTTTCAACTTGTAGGGGTTTATCTTTATTTATTCCAATTATGTTGTTTGTGTTATTGAAGAAAAACAATTTGCTTTTCCTTAATTTCTATGGAGTTTTATATCAAGTTCTTACACTTTGATATGTACAATGGCATATTGATGAGAATTAAAGTGATGGAATCAATGGGAAAATAAACATGCATCTATATGAATTTATACTTTATCAGATATTCGTTTTCTTAGGATCAAGACCACTGATTTCATTTCAAACACGAACTTGAGCGTGTGTGTGATATCATTTACTGTTAGAAGCTCTTAAATTTGACATGTTTGTTTAAATTATTTAGTTTTGCCTCTCCTAAATATGAAAAGTTCTTTTAAGTTTTGAACTTTCTAGCTTTCTAGTTGAAGTGAATTTTCTTTGAAAGAAAAAAAAGTTGAACCTTGTTGAGAAATAATGAATTTTTTACTTCAGCTTGGAAGCAAAATGGATCCTAACTAAAAACAACGTTTAATCTTATTATTTATGTCATTCACTAATAAAAATTCAAACCCCCTTAACGAAAAACTACAGAAATCAAGTCCAAAGTCTTTCGCTCTTCAATAATAGAAAAATACAGAAATCAAGTCCGAAGTTTTTTAGTCTTACCTTGTTTCTTTGATTCAGGTGTAGAATTATGATTTTGATTATATGTAGAAACTAAATAAATTACTCTTGGGTGATCCAAACCAAGCTTTCGAACTTGGCTTCCTTCTCAATTTCATTCTCATCACGTTTTCAGTTTTAATAGTTTTGCTAGTTCCACTATTCAGCTTGTTGGTTTTTCAATATATGAAATAGTTTTTAATATCTGTGTTAGTTTTAATTATTTATTTTTACAATTTGAAGTGTAATTTAAGTCTTAATAACCGATTTATTGGAAATATTCATTTAATTCTATTTCTAAATTGCACAAAATGTACTAACAAGTAATTATTTATAAAAAACTTATATTATTTAATTAAATTTATATAATGAAAAGGAATTAAACACAAATGATAATTAGGCTAACATTACCATTCATCTATAGTCATAGAGATAGCTCAGAATAGTGGAAGGGAAGTGGCTTTTCATACTGAGAGAATAAAGTACGCTTTTTCTCTTTGACACTGTTGATCCCAAAGTCTGAAAGGTTTATCATGTCCTACTAGATGGCATTCTATTTTTTTTTTTTTTTTTTTGTTAGAACAAACTTCATTCTAGATGAAGGAGGCGGAAGAAAGAAAAAAGATGAACCAAATTGTTTTTGATGTAAGCCTTTCCTCGTAGTGAAAAAAGAGTCCATATTTCAATGGGAGTGGAAATGCAAAAAAATATCTAGAGCCTCAATCATATATTGGATGATTTACTACAACTGAAGAAGATATAGATGCCATTTTTAAGTATGATTTTTGACAAATATTAATCAAATGTTCATGGTCCCTTAGGAATATTTGGATACTTTATTAGGAATTTTCTTAATGTAAATGAACCATGCAAGAACTTTAATTTTAAAAGGAGCAACATAATTTCACATCCAAAGAGATTTGTGGTGTTCAAGCAACACCATCTATCAAAAATAATACAATGATCACGGAAGGAACCGTTCGTAGAATGAATCCAAGAAGGAATACCTCAGCCATGATCTAAATTAAACTGATTGATAAATGAGGAGAAATTTCCTATTACCAGTAAGATGAAAATTCATAATATTTTCTCATAAATCATACAAACTATAACAGGTACAATGATAATAGTTTGCTGAATTATTACAATTTTTGGTAAATGAGGGAGGATCACTGGATTTTGAGGTGATAAACTTCACTATTTCATTTATTTTTCCAAATATTGATATCTCTATCATTGGGAATCTTGAAGAGATCTTTTGAAGAGATATGGATACCTCTATCATTAGGAATTTTCTATAGATATTTTGAAGAAGAGATGAATATCCTACCAAACTCCTCTAGTAATGGTGGAACAATTAGACACACCAGTAGAATATAAGAAAAGGGGAGAAGAGTTGCTGAAATACTTGTATTGAATGGTAGATCCCCCCCAACAAACCCCCCCCCCCCCCCCCCCCCTTAAAAAAAAAAAAAAAACTTATTTGTAATGTATTTTATAACATTAATTATTTACACATGAATTCTAGTTTATACTTTCTATTTTAATTTATTCTAGATATTATTGTCATGGTACAGTATATTTTTATATATATTTGTGATGATTTTATTAAAGTATTAAAGCTAATTATATTAACTAAGAGGTAGATTTAAATATACACCACCTAATTCCTATGTATTTACATATTTAACATCTAAACTTTAATTTTTATATATGCCACCTTACCTTTGCATGAAAAGGAGTTATTTCACTTTTTAAAAGTTAAAATAGTGGTGCTTTTAATGTGATATGAAAGATTTGGAGGCACAAATTTTAGAAGCAAAGTTTAGGTGTTGGATATGTAAATACATAGTGTTATGTTTGTAAATGCCCCTAAGAAATAAATCAAAGATGGTGGGTATGTACTGTTTTATTTTCTTTATGAAATTTATTTAATCTATTTGTAATGTCTATGACATTTTGTAAGCGTTGGGGAATGAAAATAAATTATGGTAAATTAGATTAAATGGATGTTTTATATGTTTTGTGATGATTTTAGTATTAAAGCTAATTATAGTAGGAGTTAACTCTTCAGTGGCGTGGATTGTTCTGTATTAAATGTATTATATACGTAATCTATTTATATTGACTATGACATCACGGAGTGGTTTAGGTATGAATAATTTCTTAGAGTCCATGTTGGATTCTCTTTTAGTCTATTAGATCAGTTACTTACATTCAGGCGCAGCTACCTGTAGAATGGTTTCAGGCTGATTTTGCTCGGTTTAGTCCAAAGTAGGCCCAAAAATGCTGGATAATGCGCCAAAATTGGTTCAAAATGAATGGAACTGATCCAGAAGTGATATGAATACAGAAATTTGGGTTGAACCCAAAACCATTATGAACATGGTTATGCTTGAATCTGGTGGTGGGTCATTTTTCAATAACTACTCCGAGCTATATGCCCTGAAGTTTTTTTTTTTTTTTTCCTAGCTCAGACATGAACTTCAGAGCTATATGCTCTGACGTTGTAGTGGAAAATATCATCAAGAAAATAAACAAATGCATAGCCTTTCTCTATTTGTTGGAGCAGTTCCTATTGCTTCATATATAAATATTTTTATGTAAAAGCATAGAATATTCCTTTAAAAAGTTTTCTTACGCTGAAACTAAAGTTCTTTCCTTTTCCATCATCCTTCAATTGAAAAATGATTTTTCGATTTGGTAAAAACGGTTATGCTTTATTTATTTTGTTCATTGCCATAACCAAATTCTTGTCTCGTTCGCTGAACTAAAGGTGACTTCATTTGCTGACTTGAATTTGAATGCTGAAATGTTTTTTCTTATCATGAAGGTCTGTTAAGTCCTTTTTCATTTAATTGGATCATTGAATAATCCGTATTTGCATGGACTGAAACGTGCAACCTTCCCTTCTCCTGAAGGGGCAAGTAAAAAGTGCCTGCAGTGTTGGGGCTGGTTTGGGGTCACTTATTCTTTTTTATATTTTTTGGTTTTATTTTGTTTTGTTCGTATTTCGATTTGAAACAAAATCTTTTAACAAATATTTTTTCTATGTTTATCGAATGATTTTCAACCCACAGCGATTTGGATTCTCTCCAATGACCGTATGTGTTGGGCACTTGTGTTGTACTGAATGTTAATTCACAAAGCTTTATACGACTTGCTGTTGCAGTAGATTTTTCCCGTCCTTGAAGAAAAATCAAGAAACTAGCATCTTTGTTAATTTGTTTCTAGATAATTATTGATATTATTTATTTTTCATTTACTGAAAAAGTTCTCTTCTTTTTTTAAACCTACAATTTTCATAGTTTCTGTTCTAACACCAAAAACTTATTATCTTCATAAGACTTTTATAGCATGTATGTAAATATTCCTACAGAACATTGTGGCCTCGTAGATTTTTCTATCTGGATGCATGGTACCTCTATGAAGTTGTGGTGTAGTCATTTACAAATTGATGTTTTTTTAATATTGATCTTTGCAGCTACCTCGCATGCTGGAGAAGGACGCCGTTGCAAGGTACTATGGGCTTGGGAAGGGAACAGTCGTAAAAGTCACCTATGACCGCGAAATCACCGGATCTCACGAAACTTACCGCTGCATTGTATAGCACTATCTGAAGAAACTATATAAGCACTTTGCTATTTAGCTATTAGAGATAAATTTGGGGAATTCTTCGGGTGTTTTTGCAAATGATTTGAAGTTTATATGGCATAAGTTAGCCAAATGATCTGTAGCAGATTTAGTGAATTATTAGATGATTTTATGTACGAATTATTATTGTTAAATCATTAAGATGTGTTTGGTAAAAATGCACTTTAACGTAGTAGTAAGTATAATAAATTATAAAGTAATTTTAAATGAGAATAAGAACTATAGAAAAGTGTAGAGCTTATGGTTCGTCTTAAGTCAGTATGACTGCATAAAAATTAAATAATTTATTAATTTTAAAATTTTGCTTACTTAGAAAGTGCAAACAGATATTGCAATGGTGGTTTTATTTTTTTTTTTCAAGAATAATTTGAATAATGTGGTGATGGCCCTTTCCACTTTTTAGCTTTGTTTGTTGTTTCTTCTTGCTGATGGCTTTATACCTGAGAGTACTATGAATTTATACAAATGAAGTATTTATCTTCTGACTATGAATTATAATGAGGATTGTTAAGATTCTGCATTCAAAACCTTTGTATCATAATATATCAGGTTACATTTTGATTTTGGGAACTGCACCTTTGAGGCAGTCCTGCTGCATAGCTAGGACTTATATGACAGGTTTCCTCAAATTGCAAAGATAACTTTACCATGGATGAGGATGAGGACAGTAGTAAGATAGGCGACGGATGGCTATCGAACCTCTAGTCATTGTGATTGTTTTCGTATTTATGTTTCAAACAAGATGATGGTAAGATAATAAGTAGTAGCTTATTACTTGCTGATCATTATTAGGATTTGTAAATAATATATATATATATATATATATTTGAAAATATCATTCATATTTTGTTAAAATCTGGCACGTTCTATGCAGACATTCCACAACTTTACCTTGGGAGTTATGATCACATGTTCAGTATAATGATTATCACTCAGGTGGTAAGGTTGGGAAACACCTGTGTGATAGTAATAATTTTGAATTGTGTGAGGTTTTCAGATAAAAGCTTTTGAAAACTAAGTAGCGTATGTCTTTCTAATATGTTTGAAATGCAGTGATGTCTGATACGTTTAAATTTTGCTCTTGTGTAATAATTTTTTTTTTTAATGAAATTGAGCATTTATTTGCTTAAAGTGTATACAAAAATGGCATTAAATTTAAACATATCATTATAGTTTATGTTGCAATATGAGTAGAAAGATCTCTCGCTTCCTAGCATTTTTCGATGGAGAGTTATGAGTAACAGCTGTTTTCACCCCGACTTATATTGGTGGAAGAAATCGACCAACGCAAGTGTCACAACTAATAACATTAAATGAACTGGTGAAAAAAATATTATGCTATTGCGCCAAAATAGTTCAACACATGTAAGAAATTTGAATTGTCAGCTTCGAGTGGGTGGTGGATTTATTGCAACTAATGTTGAAGATGATAAGTCGTGTGAATTTCTACTCTTAAAAGCCACATAAGACACAATGGTACTCTATGTGAAGGTTGTGGTTTTTCCTGCCGAGGACATCTACATTGCTTTGACCTAGGAACAGCCTATAAAGCAACTTGAGAGGGTGACTAAAATTTGGACATCTATAACTTATACATTTGTTCAATTGCGAAGTGGGACGTAATTAATAATGTTGATGTTCTCTCCATCCAGTTATCCATATCTAAAGAAGATATAATTTCATATGAGTTTGAAGATGGGATAATATTTTCTACTAAAGAGAAGCTTCAATGTTTATTAAAATGATGGTCCATTATTGACGAAGTTTACTATCGAAATGCCACATCTAGTAAAAAAAAAACTAACAGTACACTAGGATTGATTAAGAAAGAAAATGCAAAGCGGCTGTAGCGAACCTGACTGTCGCATTGGTTGATCGACATCCCAAATTTGTGTCGCGGATGAAGCTCTGCTAATAGTAGGAGAGAGCCCACCCAAGTCCTTCCCCAAGGTAATGAAGATGCTATCCTCGTCGGAGAGACCACAAAGTCCGCTGGAGTTCTCCCTCTCCAATATAGGATGTCGCTCTCCTCGTAAGAGAGATCATGAGTTGAGTGAATTCATCCTTCCCCATAGCTAGGATAAATCTCTCCTAGCCGTGGTCCCTAGAAAGCACTCTAGAGAAAAAAGTAGTCGGAGAGGAGTGAAGACGGGTGAGGTGAAGAAGGGAAGAAGATGAAGGTTTTATTATCATTTTAGTATAACACTAACTAGAATTAATATATATTTTTTTTTTTCATAATAATCAAGCTGGTTCATGTGCCAGTTTGAATTAGTAGAATTAGTTATTGTTATTAAATTATGAAGCCAAATGATATTTTTAAAATGCATTATTAAGAAAAAAAATATTCTATGTTTATTTTATTAATACACTTAGGATATTTTCTTATGCTTAACGCTATGCATTATTTAGTAATGTTTATTTGGATTAAAGTTGATTTTTTTGCAGCACCACAACGGTAATTTTTAAGGTTGTGGAACCATACAAACCCAAAACGAGAAAGGGAGTTGTGACTACAAATGATTCAAATGTTTCCCCCGTGAAAAACTAGGATAATTTCGTTCCCTTCTTCGTGTTAAGTTCGTTTAAATATAATTAAAGCAAAAATATAAATACGACTATTTTTAATGAATATATATATACACACATACACACATCCATATTAAAAATATAATTTCAAATATTTATATTTTCTTATAGATAATTAATTTAAATTATTTTTTTAGTCGTGTTGTGTGTTGGAAGATTTGAGGCAGTAGAGTAACTATTTAGCGTCTTAGCATAACATGAAACTCCAGCAAACACTCAGAAAATAAATACGTTAAGCATAACAAGAGAAGACGCCTCGATCTTTTATGTGGAAAACCCTGTAAAGAAGAAAAATCATGTGACCTAGCCTTGAAATTATCCAATATGTAAGAGTTAGTACATAGACTCGCTCTTCTCCTGAGATAGGGAAAATGAAATTTCAAAACTGATGTACAAAGATATTTCAATAATAATAAATTTAAAGAGCACAAAAATCGTAGTTGATTGCTATGAAGACCATAGCTCGCCATGATTGTTGTAGTGTTTGTAGCACCAAATTGTCATAGAGGTCGTAGTTGAAAGTTATAATAATTGTTGGTCGTGTGGGTTGTAGATGGTTGCTTCAATAACGTTTGTTGGCTATAGAGGCTGTAATAGAGAGGTGTGTGAGTTGTAAGCCACGTAAATTATAGTTGGACACACAAGCCATAGTGGAGAGTTGTAATAATGATTGTAGGTCGCTGAGGTCGGAGTTGGGAGTTGCATTAATTGTGATAACATCTATAGGCCACAATGACCAGATTTGGGAGTTGTATGAGTTGTGAGTACGTTTGTAGGCCGCAAAGGTCAGAGTTGGCCGAAATGATTTGTGATAATGTATGTAGGTTGCAGAGACCATAATTAGGAGATACATGAGTCATGATAAAATTCGTAAGCTGAGGAGGCCAGAGTTGGGAGTTGTATTTGTCGTTATAACATCCATAGCTCGTAAAGGCTGGACTTGGGAGTTACATGAGCAGTGATAACGTCTGTAGGCCATAGAGGTTAGAGTTGGGAGCTGCATGAGAGGTAGACCACGTAAGCCATAGTTGGTCACATATGTAGTAGTGATGTGCTATAAGGAGTGGGCTTCAATAGCGCAGAGATAGTCATAGTATCTTGAGAATGGTGGTTGTAATCAATTATTGCGGGGTGTTTTGTTACACCATCTTGGAAAGGCGTTGTTCCATCTTATGCGGGGAGTATCGTTGCAACTATTTGGGAGATGTTGTTACACTGTCTTCGAGATGTGTTGTTCTAACATTTTTTGGGGGTGTTGTTGTCGTTCCACCATTTCTGAGGTATACTATAACATAGTCTTCGGGGTGTGTTGCTCAATAGAATTCTTCGTTACTCAGCAAGGTTGTTGTTATTTCGCATGGTGCTTCGTTACTCTACAACATACGTTGTCGATTTGTAAAGGACTTCATTACAATGAGTATGGGGTTGTCGAAGGTGATCAATAACAATTGTCAAAGGTGGTTGATGACGTTAAATGAGTAATGACTGACAACAATCAACCAACGGTGGCCAACGGTGGCCTAAAGGGGCTGCAGGAGCAGGCGTTGTTCGTTGGATCTTCGGTGTAGAATACTAGTTCTCAACTCATCCCAGTTTCAGGCTTCTTCTGGTTCAAGATCCAGGTCCCCTTTTATGAAAGGCGTAGTGTGGATTTATTTATAAAGTACAAATTGCAAATAAAGAAGAAATCTAAATAACTCTTATTGGATGACCTGGAGATGTTCCCTCAATCGTATAGTGTTTTATTGATATGTAAGTGTTTTATTGATGTTAGAATTCAGTGATTTTAGGTCCATTGGATTCATCTTATCAAAACACTTGATTTGACTATAAGTTTGTAAAATTTAGAATTCGTTTGTTTATGCAATTATGCACAGAAACATTCCAAATGTGGTCTTGTTTTAGGCTTAATTTAACTCGGATTTGATCAATTTAGGTATCATTAGGGTTCTTCTTGTTGAGTAGGTTAGTTTGATTTTATGTTTGTTGGAATCAGGAGCTCTCAATGATTTTGAATCGAAGTTATAATTTTTCTTGCTAAAAAAATATGTTGAGATTAGTGTCATACCTCGAGAGATTCGTTTGAAAATTTGTTAATGGCTTACCAAAATTGTCACATATATAGATGTTTATGTTCATTATTTCAATAAGCTATAGAAGAAATTTTTTTTTTGGTTGGAATCCCTTCATTGCGGTAATTTTTATTCTCTTCCAATCTCATTCAGCGAATACTTCCCAAAAATAACATCTTTAACCAATGAATTTTTTTGGAATCGTTCCAGTTTTTTTAATAAAAAAATATTAAAAAAATAGAAAATTATATCTTAATTTATAAATTAATTAATTACAGCAATAGCTCAGTTTAGTCATTTGTAAGTAAGCGCCATAACGGTGGTATCTACGTAATTCTCCCTTAAAATTAAAAATACTTACAAATAAATTCAAATTTTAAATTCAAAATTCAAATTTAAATTTTAAATCTGTGGCAATGTTAACGGTAAATTGTGTTAACGTAAACTAATTTAAATTTACCCAAGACAATTGAAATCGCAATCCTTTCTTCTTCCATCGCTCTCTCCGTTCTCTTGGGTTCTCCTACGACCTCTCTGGTCTGAAGCTATTTCCTTCTCTCCCAAACTCTCCATTCGGCAGTCCTCCCTGTTCCTCTCGCATCTCTTCGCTTCCGTTCTCCTCCGTCCTTCAATAAAATCTGCGTCGTTCTCCTCCGTCCTTCAATCTGCTCCGCTTCGTTCTCCTCCGCCCTTTAATCTGCTCTGCTTCGTTCTCCTCAGAGGTCTCCCTCCGAACGCCGCTTCCATTCTCCTCCGAGCACTCCAGGCGCTCTCCGTTCTGACGCTTCTTCTATTCTCCACCGAACTCTCCGCTGCAATGGCCGGAAAAGGAAGGAAGAAATTGGAAAATAAACTAATAGAGTCGGCTTCAGCGAGAATGGTCTGCTTCTCAAAGCGTCGCAAGGGACTATTCAAGAAGGCAGAGGAACTCCCCGTCTTATGTGGTACAAAGGTAGCCGTTCTCGCGTTTTCTCAGGGCGGAAAGCTTTACTGCTCCGACTTCGAAACCTTTGATACACTTCTCTGTCCTCAAACCCAACTCAAGGCCGACTCCTTGCTCTGCCCTCCACCTGCCGTCGCCGCTGAGAAGGAGGCCGAAATATGTTGGGAATTTGATTTTAACGAAGCAATGGCCGGAAACTCTCTCCCTTTTTGGTATAACAAACCAAACGTCCAGTGCATGGACTGTGAGGAACTCCGGCGACTGGAGAGTGTTATTTTGGAGTATGGTCATTTGCAATTGGGCAGAAACTCTTGTTTGTAGGTCATGTTGCATTTTCATGCATGTATTGTTTGCATTTTTTTATGTGCAGATTGTTTGTTGCATTTTCATGCGTTGAATGTTTGTTGCATTTACGTGTTGTAATCATCACTATAATCAATGTTTGTTGCTTAAATTTGATATTCATACACTAACTTCGTTGGAAGAAATTCTTTGTTGCTTGTTTTCTGTATTGCTTGAAATTTTTTTTTTTCTGGTACCTTAGAAGCCTTTGTGAGTCTACATTGATATGCTTTCTTGGCTTAGCTACATATTCGTTGCAAACTTAGTTCTATAGAGTGTGGTAATAGTTACTGATTAAATCTCTAAATTTAATTGTTGTTTTAATTTATTTTTGTTATTGCTTTGCCGTTGCTACACACACACAATTTTATTATTGCAAATTTTAGCAAAAGTTCATAAATTAATAAGCTTTTGTTTAAAAATTTATCTAATTCATGAAAACTTTTAAGATGATTATTTTCAAGAGAAGTTGTATTTCTTTTACTGCATAATTGAACACCATAATCAACTATCCAACCACATTTATGTTTTTTGGAGAACATCACGATGAAATAAGGGATGAATGGGCTTAGTTATCTAATGTATTTAATTCATCCACTAAGAAGTGACACTGGTATGATGGTCATGTAGTGGCTCTTAAAGGTGTTATTAAAACTAGGACATAATTTTTGCTACTTTTGAATATGCTTGCATCTATTTTTAATCATTTTAGAAGAAATCATATTTTAAATGATTACTCTAATTCTATAGTATAGTTTGTCAGATGTCAAACATAAAGTTATGCTTTCAACATTTGGTATATTATATTTTCAACATTTGGTATAAACTTGTGGAATTTATGGTGATTTCAGTTAGATTCATCACTTCCATTTTTGTTTGACTTTAGTAGAAAGACAACTATTGAAATGGATATCCATTGAAAGACATATCCATTGAAAGGCCTGTTGTTTTAGATTTTGAAGGGAAAACTTAGAGACTTCATAAAAAGCTTTCTGTCTCTTTACTGTTTTTTAATGACTAATATTGTAATTTGTGATGGGTGTTTATGTATGTTTTTGTGTGTTTTTTTGTAATTCATAATTTTACATTACAAATGTAGCATATTTTAAATGGTTTGTATGTGCATTTTATAGAATCATCACTTGCTGATTTTAGGTTTTCGATGTTACATTTTTTTATTCTTTTAAGCTTAATTTACTGAGAAGTGAAGTAGTAAAAATTTCAATTATTTAGAGAAAACTTATAGGTTGTGAACTCATATTCTTCATTCATAACTGAATTAACAACCATGACAAGTTTTAGCCAAAACTATCATCACAATTGCCAGTTGCCTCCTTCACCATTTTCGGCATTGCCCCAACACCCATCAATCCCACTCATCATCATTATCGCAATAATAGCTACCAACTCCTGACTTTGTAGACAATATTGCCCGAAATCATTACTACCACCGTCCATCCCTAAATATCGTCAATTGCCCTCGATACAATTTCTAATCACCTCTATTGACCATCTCACCGCTCACCAGTACTTATGTCTATCATCTTTGTTGCAGCTTGCTCTACTACATGCCCACAGTTAGAGTAATAACAAATATTTAGTAAGACTATGTTAATATTTGCTTGAAACTATTTTGACAATTAAATGTTTTTTTTCAAAAAGCATAATCATTATTGAAACCATATTTGATTTTTGTGTGCACAACTTACACAAAAAAAATCCAAAATTAAATTAAGTATCATTTCAGTTAATATATTCAAATTTTAGCGCATTTTTTGTCTTTAAATAGGAGATTTACTAAATAGCACTTTGAACAATATATTTTTTTTCCCAGGTAACACCCAAAATCTCATATTATGATATAAAGCTTTCAAAATTTTACTTTACACCTCAAAAATAGCCTTTGTTGCCTCTATCGTTACCTACGCTTAAAATTTACCCGGAAAGCCTCATGTGAAAGCATTGTGCTATCCATTTCTCTCTAGTGGTGAGCTATCTCACATCTTTCATGAGCTCCAACATGTATTTCTACTCTGGCCGAGCCAAGTCTCCGCAAAGCCCAAAGTTGTTTTTTTTTCTTTTGTGCCTAAAGTTGCTTCGACTCAATTGATAAAATCTGTGGATTTTTTTTTTCCTTGTTATGCATTGCAAATTGAATGCTAAAGCTGCAGCAATGAGTAGAAAATTTTTTTTATTTGTAAAAAGGATGGAGATGGTGGTACTTAATTGATTCATAGAATAATTTCCATGTAGAAAGTATGTAGTGAAAGGCTAGTTTTGATCCATGCAAGTCAAAGACTTTATAAATGAAGTATGCTTAGCCTTCTTTTCAAACAAGTTGGCTTCATTTTTTACATATGTATTGTGATTATAAAAGATGGTAGTATTTCATTTCTCAAACTAGGTTGATTGCCATACTTGTTATGCTCAAACCTATCTAATAACCAGGAGTGCTACTATAATCATTATGTGCTGCTATACTTGCTATGCTCAAACCTATCTAATAACCAGAAGTGCTGCTATAATTATTATGTGCTGCTATAATTGTTATGCTCAAACCTATCTAATAACCAGAAGTGCTGCTATAATTATTATGTGCTCCCAAACTGCATTGTGCATCAAAAAGAGTGTCGACACAAATCGTAAATGTGATTTGTGGATAGCCAACATGTGTTATATCTCACAACTACCTTACAAGAACGACTCCAGATCACACAGCAAGTCAACAGAATCCACCCTGCCTAGATGGGAGATATATTTCCAGGAGAGTCGGGAGGGGTATCCCTCGAATAAATTTCACCAAGATTATTGTCATTGATCCGACTCAATGGTCGCCCGACCTATACTCCTCATAATCCAACATTTGCTCAGCCTCGCAGCCATCTTGCCAGATCATAACACTGCGACGTAACATCCCCGTTACACCGGGTATTGCCGCCCGACGTGGAGCTAGGTCTCCATGGCAGTGGATCCCACATATGAGTAAATAGCCCCCAACTTAACCTAGGCGTTAAGGGCATAGTATGTAATTGTTCGACAGTCTATTTCTATAAATTGGGTGTGTTTCATAACTAAAGAGGACATTGACACTGTTCATAAAAAGAGGGGTGTGGGGCTTTCTTTTCTCTTTTCTCTTCTAATGCTTTATTCCTCAGGCATGTCTCCCAAACAAATTTGGATCCAATACTCTAATAATTGAAGATATCATTTCTCTCATGTTTAATGGTTAATTGATTTTGTTATCATTATTGGTTTGACATTGATTTATATATATATATATATATATATATATATAT